TCCGTTGGTTATACAGTGCAGAACACACTAAATAAATAAACGTTGCTTATCACTGCTGAGGAATGGAAAAATGCACACAGTGGCACCAGGAACTCCACTGATCTCAATCTGAAGACCTTTGACCCCATTTTTCCTCAAATCTGACAGGTCATTAAACGTTGAACTCTGCATCATCAATCTGAAGGTCATTGATCAGATCTGATCATTGTTTCCGGAATGTTGTTTACAGACTTTATCAACAAATCTACATGTTATCCCAAGGAACTCAATAATTGAGAAAGAAACAAATTATCTACACTGAGCGGCATGACAAAACAAGGAAGTGGGTAGATCCTTCCAAAGAACATCCATCCAGACACAAAGTCAGTTATCATTACTAGTGAGAAGAAGAAAAAAAACACAATGGCAAAGACATTAAGGGGCATCCCCGTGATAGGATGGAGGCTAAAGGATGGACAGGGGCTGTCAGCCTGGTGTTTTATGTACCTACAGATGCCTATGAACCTAGAGGAAGACTGTGATGGAAGGCACCTGCTCCAGGCACTGGTTCCTCTCTACTGAGCCCCTCTAGGATGGCCTATCCTCTATACGTTCACTGAGCTTTCTATCTCAGGAGCTTCTCCCTCCAGCATACCAGCAGCTCACCCAGACGTGGCCTTCTCTGATGAGCTCTTCTCTGGCCAGTGGGAACCAGGGTAAAGGGCCACAGTGCTGAAAACTGAGACTGGATCTACTAATTGAGTGATAATGATATGACCCGGTTGGAGGATGTATGAGTGCCTATACCACAGCTCCCTCTAAACAGATTTATAAGAGAGAAAGAGACCAAACCTCAAATAACACACTCCATAACATCTGTCATCTCATAACGTCCTCTTCCATCTCATATACTATTGTCATATCACTGAATACCCTGCACCAAGATCCACACAACAAACAGGGTGAGAGAGAGAAAAAGCCTCAAGTCGGAGGCTACGTTCATCAGGGAGGTGAAGTCAAGGGTCGCTTGGTAAGAGTAATGGAGCATGTCATTGAAGCCTCATCGGGAGGTTCTCTGGTTGGCTGGTAAAGTAAGCAGATACCCTATGAGGAATAAAGGATAGACAGTTCACAAGTGTAAGTAGATCAGATAATACCTGGTTAAATCCGAGCTACAATACTTCGTGGTGTGTTGAATACAGGAAGAGCACAGAACATTTCAAGCAGAAGATTTTTACCAGCTTAGGTGCAGAGGGTACTTGGTATACAGTTCCAGTCTTAAGTTTCTTCAGGTTATAAGCAACGTTCAGAGAGCATTCTATAACTGAATTTTCATTTAACACGTGGAACATCGTTGCACTGGAAAATATAGTGGAGAAAAGCAGTATTGAGAAACACACTGAATTCTGAACACATGCACGCAACCACCCACCCACACACAGTAGGCCTACTGTAATTTTAAACAACACTTTATTTATTCTGTCATATTCTAGCGTTGATTTGATTACAGTGGACATTGGTTTTTGTACAGTAATATATATTTTAGCTTTTTGAAACATAAAACATGACAAAAGTTAGCTCTAATCTCCAGCCATGTTTCAATGTTGAATAAATAGAACACCACTACTTAGTGAACAACAGAAAAATGCCTTCTCTTAGCTATTTTACAAGTTGGTAACTAAATACATTTGCCGCTTAATGGATGTTGGCGTGTTATTCTATAGTCATGATTTAGGAAGAGAGTAGTGCAGGTTGAGGTTGAGGCCCAGACAAGGAGGGGAGGCTGGGGGCATGACAGTTTTACAAGATCCCCTGGAGTGAAGAAGTGTTCTCCATCATTTGGCTGCTGCGTCCCGCTGTTGGAGACTTATGCGCTGACACCTCAATGGGGACGCGGCTTAATGCAAGACGGCATATGGGTTAATACCCGGCTCCAGTTCCTCCCTCAATCACAGCTGAAACAGTTCATCCTTTATGGAGCTCCACACAGTCATAGTTATTCCTACAGATTTATAGGCATTACTGACAGACTGTATCTCCTAGCCATGGGAGGATGATGTTCCCATGTCATGTTCTCAACCTTGCTCTAATCAAACATGTATGGAGCTGGCATGGTGGTCTTTGAGGAGTATACTTCAATCAGAGGAACCATCTAAAGAGTATTAGCCTTATTTTCATATCTCTCACCAGAAGGATTTGTACCGGGATATTTTATCATTTGAAGACTGATAACTGAGGGCAAAAAGTGAGACTGCGAAGAGACAAGGGCTGAGCTTATTTAAGAGCATAAATGATGTAAAGTGTGAACTTCAAACCCTTGTGACCTTTGACAGTGGGGGACGGCCTAAGATTATCTTCTCTATGCTCCAGACTCAGGGTAAGATGAGAGGAACAGAAGTGATTCACAGCTGTGCACATGCATACAGGGAGGCCAGTGTAGTCACTCATCTTAAACCTGGCAAGCAAAGGTAAAGTCAGTTATTCATTGTCAAGTTGTGAATTTTAGTACAGTTATTGCTTGTAGAGGCTGTATAAGACACCTTTTCTAACAATACTCAAGTGTATAATGCTATAAAGTAGATGTGTAAAATGAATGCACAAAAGGTGAGTTCAAGGTTGTTTGATCATTCAAACTATTGAAAATATAATCAAACACTACATCCCTTCAAATACATATAATAAAAAGGTTTATGTTTTAATAGCATTGCTATAACACTCTCATCTGGGCAATGCTTTTTTAAAAAAAACTCTGGTTTCTCTTCAGAGGCACTATGGCGAGTCCAGAGTAAAATCAGCCCAGTATAATGTGCTCATGTACCGGAAGTATTTTATAGACTAGCAGCTGCAGTATTTCACTTCATGAGGCAGTGCACTCGGAGTGCCAGGATTGCACTCAAGCTTTCTTAAAGGGCATTTTCTTCTCAATTTAAAAAGACTTCCTGGTTAGATTTATTGTGATGGCTTTTGAAGTAAAGAGGCATGACAAGCTCTATAACCTCAGGACATTCCACAAGCACTGAGCATTTAGAGGGATCCGTTTAGTTGAAGGTTGCAGAAAATTGGCAAATAAGATGCTTTCACCGCCTATAAAGACTTTCAATTGAATTGATCTGTGAAGTAAATCAGAAGCAAACTCAAAACTTGACTCCAACAGTAAAGATGTGAGGTGTTTGTTCAGGCTTTAAGGCTCATAATCTACAGTATGTGGGGAATACGTTAAGAACATAAGGGTCTTCAAGTATTTTACACAACTTGGTTTTCATACTCTGGCAGTAATTATCACTCGCACACTCACCCATGATGAACAGCATTATCTATCTGGTCTATAAACATAGAAAAGATAAACAATAGCACAGGTAAGACAGTCAAATGATGAGAGTGGAAGGGCTTAATAAAAATAGTAATTAATTGAGGTCAATGATTCACACACCCCACAGTGAAAGAAGACTATGTTGGCATGATTTTGAACATGGTGCCTTGTTCCCAGAGAGAGCACCTTCCTCAACCTTGTTTGCACTGAGTGTTATTCTAATGTTAGCTGAATGCACACGACCCAGTGGAGCACGCAGAGAAGAGCAGAGCAGGGGCCTGGCCAATTTGCTTGGCACTCAGTGAGGACACAGTGATGGAATGTGAATGTCAGCAGCCTCTTTATTTACACACCATATAAAAACCAACTGGTAAGTAACACCGGGGCCCTCCCGCGCTCAAGTGTAATTGACTGTTTCAAAAGGACCACCGCTTCATAATCCTGGCTGTGTATTAAAATGACCCTCTCCATATTGCCCCATATCCCAGCCTCCGTTTAAGGATAGGGGTCAGCACCACTGGCTGAGACACTCAAACACATAAGACTTCTTTATGAGGGCATTAACATTTTGACGTATTCATAATGAGTAAGTGTAGTAAGATGGACCTCGGAGAGACCTTGTGCTACCGTCGAAGGTGTGTGGAGTCTTATTTTTGCTGTGTGAGGAATTTTGTTGAGGAATACAACTTGCGTAGTAAGCCTACTGAGTATCTGTAGGAGAAAAATGATAATTACAGTTTTAATAGCATTCCACAGGGGTAACTGGCTGAAAAGCGATTCAATTTTTCTTTGTATCTTCCAGGGTTCTGTAGTTGTACAAATTTGAAATTGTCATAATTGTAATACATTTCTGCTGCATTTCAATTAGATCGAGTCAATTTGACAGCATCTTCTGGCATCCATTTCAAAGTGATCATCCCAATAGCCAATTTACAGCATAGTATTTATCCATGGTTACATATAGTATAAGTGTTGTGGTTAAAGGCTAGTTCTCTATTCTCAACACTCAACACTAATCTTGACCGGTGAGGCCCATGAGCAACATACTGTATGTTGTCAACTGTATCGCCCTAACATGTGTCCATACGGTCTCTACTGCTTCCTCACAGGGGGGACATAAACTTAATGAGAATCTCATTTGCATTTGTTAATTTGGGTTAATGTGCACTAATTGATTCTTGTAACTTGTGTATTCCAATTAACCCAAGTTTTAGTTGCCCAGTGGCCCTGCTCCTGCTGGAAATGAGTGGTGTTTCCTCCATTAAAATCCCTCTGAGGCACTGCCAGATTGTCTGTAGAGTAATTAAGAGTTAATTAGCTTGTAAACAATTAGACAAAACACATTTCTTCCTACCTTTGTTTATCTATTTCAGTGTGTCTACATTGCAACGTAAGACAGCGGACTATCCTTCTGAACGTACATCTCAAGTCTATTACAACAAAACAAAAACAAGCCAGGTACAAAGAATTAGGCTACTTTTAATATACTGCATTGTGGGTAAATAACAAACAGCATGGATCCATGAATAAATACAGTGAAATCTATGAATAAATAAATCCATAACTGGATCCAAAAATAAATAATCGAACAATGCCTTCCTGCCTTCAGAGTAGTTTTCAAATCTCAACAACAGAACGTTTGATAGTTTGAACAAGTGAACTTGTGAAATGTAATGATCAATAACTTAATGAAATCAACTCTAGTACTTCTTTATAACTGCGTAGTTTCACTTTCATCCATTTTGAGTCTCTTGGGGAGTCTCAGCCTCTCGGAGCACAGGAACTGCTCGATCTTGGCAATTTGGGCTCTGATGTTAGATTGCTCTGACTCCTCGTTGTCCTGTGAGCTGGGTGGAAAAGCACCAGAAGCAGAAGCTGGGGTGACAGGGAGAGGAGTTGGTCCTGGGGTAGTCCTGCCACAACCTGCTGCTGTCCATAGTGGAAGGGGTCGGGATGTTGGGCAACGCAGAGCTGACAGGGATATGAACCCGGCTCTCCTACAGAAACATGACACAAGCATGAAACTCATGGACAATAGCCTACAATACTTTCAACACGTAGAGTATATTATCCCTATACTGTATTATTCCACTAATAAAATAAATAAAAAAGCACTACAAAACAATTAGTTATGAGCCATTTAGGCTTAAATAATGGATTCAATTTGTTGAAATTGTCCCTTTAAATTCTTTAGGTGCTTTCCCCTCATACATGTAACTCATGCTCATTGTTTCTCAATTCACAGCACCTGGCTCTAATAAACAGCAGACTGACACACTGCGATGATTGTGACGAGAGAGTAAGTGAGTGTGTGTGAGTGAGTGAGGAGAGGTAGCAAAGTATCATTAGGTAGCCTATTCCCACAGCCACTCCATTCTCTATCTAGCTATGTGAGTTTTATGTGTTGAACACACGTTGAAAATCCCAACCCCTCCACAGTAGCATCTCTGTGACCCTCAACATTAAGACTCAGACTCTGTGACCCTCAAACCAGAGGCCTGGATACAAAATAAAAAAGATTTACAGGAAACAATGATCTGCAATAGTTTGAACTGTTTTCTGTCACTTGTCATTTGACAGATATGTCTGAGAGTTCCCTATAAACTTATGCGGAAGAGTTGATTTAACATTCTAGACATTCCCCAAGCATGGTTGGGGGGCCTCTACGCGATGAATACACTGGGACCATTTCCTGCTGTTCTCCATCAACCTCTAATTGAGAAAAATGCTGTTATTTCACCCTGCTGAAACGTTTTTGGAAAAGAAGAATACTTGAAGCACACTTTTTAATTTCATTGCTCTGCATTGTTGCGAGATTTGCTCACTAGTTCTGCTCCCTAGATACTGTATATGAACTCACTTTTTGTCTTGATATTTCACAAAAGGTTTCTCTGATGGTGTTCCATTTCCCTTGATGAACTCTCTTGTGGGAAGTCGGGATGCTGTGAGCTTTCTGGGAGTCTGCAGATGTGGTCATCACTGACGGATCTGAATGACAAACGAAGTTATACTCAAGCCAATCAGATTCCTTTTATCAAATTTCAGGTATGCCGATCTCAGGGAGGCAATCATGAAGTCGCAAAACAACAATGTTCCTTTTTCAGAGTAAATACTTTGAACGATTATTTGAAAGCCTATATGATTGCCTTACTCACCTCTGGTGTTTTGCTTGCCCTTTAGAATGATGGGTATTGTGAATGGAGAAGGAGGCTCTTGGCACCCAGAGGACAGTTTGGTTTTCAGTTCAGACACTGGAGATATCTGGCATGTAGGCCTACTGTCATTGGTACTTTGAATAATTGCGATGCCCTGCATGTTCCTGGAATGTATGTCCCTTATTTCTGCAGTTAACTCAAATGATAATTGATATATTTTGTTGCTTGCAAACAACGCATAGTCAATGTCAAATGTCTTCTCTTCAACTTTTAGCTGGTCAGATTGTCTTGAATGAGGGAGATCAGTCTCAACTCTTGGGTGCTTGGACGTCGGTGGGTTGTTGTGCATAACTTCAGCATCCTTTTCATTGGCATGTTGTGGTCTCAACTTTTCCTCCACTGTAGAGATACAGCAGTGGCCTTCATGAACCCTCTCAGACTGTGGTGTGTCCATAGCAATTGGAGAAGTTTGGGACTGTGATCCAACAGGGCTGGCAACATCATCTCCATGGGCTCCATCAGGGCTCGCATCAAGCTCTCCATTCTCTGGTAAAGTCTCCTGACAGTTAGGATCCAGTGCATCCTCAGTCACCGGCACACAGTCTCTAGCTGGTTGTTCATGCTTGTACTCCGACTTCTTGGTCCCAATATTACAGTCCGACTGAGCACAGTCCTGTGCAACAACACTCTGGGGACTGTTTTGCTGTGGCAGGTTCAGGGGCATTGATGGAAGACAAGATGTTCCGGTTATGTTGCTATGTTGGGCTGAAGCTGGTAATGAGCTGCTAGGTGACTCATCATTGACCTCTGGCATGTGACATCTTATTACATTGATTTCAATTACCTTCTGAGGAAGAGCGTTGCATGGATCTGAGGACTGTGAGACTGCCAATGGGGTCTCAGCTTGGACTAGGTCAATGTCCTGAAATGATTATGTGCTTTTTTGGCTGACTTATCACATGTCTGGCTGGTTTTCATCTCTGGTGTACACAACCTCTGTTCTTGCTCTCCATCCCTTGTTCCTCCAGCCACTGGGTCAACGTCTAGCGCACCATAAACAGACCTGTTCTCGGAGCCAGATAGCACCCTCATAGAGTGACCTTTGTCGCTTAGATAGACGTTGCTGGATGAGCAGACATTATTAATCAAACTGCAGACTGGGTCATTGGAATCACTGGAGTTACATTTGTTGTTTGAGTCCGCTGGCTGACCTTCCCCTGCTCCGCAGATACTCAACACATGGACCATGTCTGTGACGTGGTCGGACCATCTGCAGATCCAAACTGCAGCGAGGCAAACCACTCCAGACTTCCTGCTGGTGGCTGGAGCACTGAGCTAGGTTTGTCTTTACCCTGATGGCTCTCTCCACCTCCCTTTACGTCTGTGCACCCTGGATCGGAACCATGGGTGGCCTGTACGCTGTCGATAACCTTACAGTGGACTGTCTGTGGAGAGTCATCCATCAGAGTCTCCAAACAACCCACAGGACCAACTTCACTGCTTTGATCTGTGTAGGTATATCACATAGCCAAACAACATCAATGATACATTTGGTACAATTGTTATTGCACCAACATCAATGCCACAATTAAATATGCAATTCATTTTAGTGCAATGGTAATGAATCATGCAATGGCAATGACTGGCAAACAATGTACATGTTCCAAGATGGCATAGTAGTGCAGTCGTGTATTCTGTAGTGTGCTCGTGTAAATAGCCAGTTTTTTATTTTTTTTTATTTTTCGTATATATTCTCAATCTCACTTTTCATCCTTCAACTAAATATACTTTCCTGCAACCCGCCTCACCCAATGTGGAACGGATTCTATTATTTCTTATACCTTTTTATCTAGAACCGGCTGAAACTAGCCAGCTAACTAGCTACTTGCTAGCTACTTGCTATTAGCCACCGTTAGCGGTTTTCACCATTGTCCGTGGCCTGCACTACCTACCTACCAGCCAGCTCTAGCCTGGACAATTATATCAATTATAATAACTATCAACCCAGAACATATCGGATTTTCTGCCAGAATCACTGAATCACTGGACCTTTAACACCGGATCATCACAACTAGCTAGCTGCAACCGAATGGATGTTGTTGTTGGCTAATCACCACTGTCCCGAAGCTAGCACCAGTTAGCCTTGAGCTAGCCTCAAGCCAGGCCCATCTCCCGGCTATCTATGTCACGGTTTTGGCCGAGGCTGCTTCTCCTCCTTGTTCGGGCAGGCTTCGGCGGTCGTCGTCTCCGGAGTACTAGCTGCCATGTTTCGATGTTCGTTTGGTTTGGTCTGTTTGTACACCTGTTCTTTGTTAGTGTTGATTATGTGCCCTATAAGTTCTCTTAGGTTTTGTCATGTGTTGTGTGTAATTGTTTCGTGTCAGCTAGGCGTCAGTTTGTTCTCTCTCGTTCTGTTTTGTTTTGAGAGCGTGTCCGCACTGTGTGCGCAGTTTGGGTTACGCACTGTTTTCTGTGTGCGTAATTCTTCGCTTGCCCTCCGGCTGGGATTTTGCCGTGAGTCTGTTGTATTGTTTGATCCTCACTAAAGACTGTTGAAGAGCCTCTGTTGTCCTGCGCTTGATTTCTGCACCACATCTATGCTCAGCCCTTGACAGAATTACACACCAAACATGGAATCAGCAGGAGCCGCCTCATCTGTCGAGGCAATCGAGGAGCGCCTTCGCGGACAGGATCAAAAGATCAGCTGGATTGGGAACTCTCTCGAGGGGGTGGTGGAGACCCTCCGTAGATGGGAGACCGGCGGGGCTCCCACGCATCCACCCATCGCACCATCGCCATCAGCCAGTCCGCCTGTTCAACTTCCGGAACACAGTGGGATTCGGCTCTCGCTCCCGAGGGCGTATGATGGCACCGCTGCCGGGTGTCAGGGTTTCCTTCTACAAGTCGAACTTTACCTAGCCACTGTACACCCGGTGCCCTCGGGATACGAGAGCGTTTCCGCCCTCATCTCCTGTCTCACCGGCAAGGCGTTGGAATGGGCCAACGCCGAATGGAGGAGGATAGACGCCGCTACTATCACATATGCGGAATTCTCTCGCCGCTTCCGGACTGTTTTCGACCATCCACCAGAGGGGAAAGCGGCGGGGGAGCATCTGTTCTACCTCCGGCAGGGGATGAGGAGTGCCCAAGATTTTGCACTGGAGTTCCGGACTCTAGCGGCTGATGCAGGGTGGAATGAGCGGGCCCTCATAGACCACTTTCGCTGCAGCCTCAGGGAGGACGTCCGTAGAGAGTTGGCCTGCAGGGACACCACTCTCACCTTTGACCAACTGGTGGACAAGGCAATTCGCCTAAACACCCTGCTGGCCACCCGCGGACGCCCTGGGGGGGGGTCGCCCATTCCACCCTCCAGCACCTCCGAGTCGAGTCCCATGGAGCTCGGGGGGGCTGGCGCTAGAGAACGGAGGAGAGGGAGTTCGAGGGGGGCCGTCCCCTGCACCAACTGTGGCCGTGGAGGACACACTGCGGCCAGGTGCTGGGGAGGGTCTCCTGAGGGACGAGACGGCAGGCCACGCGCTGGGGAGTCCTTCCTGGTGAGTAGGCGCCCCACTTACCCAGAGCTCTCTGTCGTGCACATAACCATACCTGTTTGTTTTTTACAGGTTGCACCTCGTTCCCAGCATAAGGCGCTAGTAGATTCAGGCGCGGCTGGGAATTTTGTAGATCGTAAGTTTTGTAAAGAGTTAGGGATTCCTCTCCTTCCTGTTAAAGATCCCTTCCCTGTACATGCCCTAGATAGCCGTCCGTTGGGATCGGGGTTGATTAGGGAGGTCACAGCGCCACTTAGGATGGAGACGCAGGGGGGTCATGAGGAGACGATTCAGCTATATCTGATTGACTCTCCTGTGTATCCGGTGGTGCTGGGGCTTCCCTGGTTGATTACTCATGATCCCACTATTTCGTGGCGAGAGAGGGCTCTTAAGGGGTGGTCTGCCCAGTGTGTGGGGCGATGTCTGGGTGTTTCCGTGGGGGCGACCTCGGTGGAGAGTCCAAACCAAGTGCCCGCATTGCACATTCCCCCCGAGTATGAGGATCTGGCAGTCGTGTTTAGCAAGGCGAGGGCGGCGCGATTGCCACCTCATAGACAGGGGGATTGTGCGATAGATCTCCAGGCAGGAGCTGCGCTCCCGCGGAGCCATGTGTATCCGTTGTCGCAAGAGGAGAAGAGAGCTATGGAGACATATATAGCTGAGTCTCTGAGACAGGGATACATACGGCCCTCCACTTCCCCTGCGTCCTCGAGCTTCTTTTTTGTGAAGAAGAAAGATGGAGGTTTGCGCCCGTGTATTGATTACCGTGGTCTCAATCAGATTACTGTAAAATACAGTTATCCACTCCCTCTGATTGCGACTATGACGGAGTCATTACACGGGGCAAGGTTCTTCACAAAATTGGACCTCAGGAGCGCCTACAACTTGGTGCGCATTAGGGAGGGCGATGAATGGAAGACAGCGTTTAGTACCACCTCGGGTCATTACGAGTATCTCGTCATGCCATACGGTTTAATGAATGCTCCGTCAGTCTTCCAATCCTTTGTGGATGAGATTTTCCGGGACATGCAGGGACAGGGGGTGGTCGTGTATATAGACGATATTCTGGTGTACAGTTCTACCCGAGCCGAGCATGTAGCCCTGGTGCGCCGAGTATTGAGGAGACTGTTGGAGCACGACCTGTATGTCAAGGCAGAGAAATGTCTGTTTTTCCATGAGTCGGTCTCCTTTTTGGGTTATCAGTTGTCTGCGTCAGGGGTGAAGATGGAGGTTGACCGTGTGTCAGCCGTGCGTAATTGGCAAACCCCAACCACAGTTAAAGAGGTGCAGCAGTTCTTGGGCTTTGCCAATTACTACCGGAGGTTTATCCGGGGTTTTGGACAGGTGGCAGCTCCCATCACGTCCCTTCTGAAGGGGGGTCCGGTGCGCTTGCGGTGGTCAGTTGAAGCGGACAGGGCTTTTGGGAGACTGAAGGACCTGTTTATTCGGCGCCGGTGCTGGCGCACCCGGATCCCGCTTTACCATTCCAAGTGGCGGTGGACGCGTCAGAAGCCGGTATCGGAGCCGTTCTCTCGCAACGGTCCGGCACTCCACCTAAACTCCGCCCCTGTGCCTTTTACTCGAAAGAGCTCAGTCCGGCGGAGCGAAATTATGACGTAGGGGACAGGGAGCTGTTAGCCGTGGTACAGGCCCTAAAGGTGTGGAGGCATTGGCTTGAGGGGGCTCAACACCCTTTTCTCATTTTGACTGACCACCGTAATCTGGAATACATTCGGGCAGCTAGGAGACTAAATCCTCGCCAGGCGCGGTGGACTATGTTTCTAGCCAGGTTCGTGTTATGATTCAAACAAATTTGAAGTAATTTGATTGAATTATGGGTGTTTTACTAAATGTAATAACTTCTGTTGTCCTCTGGGGTCAAAAAGACCCCGCAGCACAAAGTTTACATACTGCTTGGCAAAACATCTTTGATCATGTTTCTTTGATGTGTGGGGTCAAGCAATGGTTATGACAACAACAACAACAAAAAAAGTATTTTCTCACAGGTGTTTGGGCATTTCACATTTTAGTCTGAGAGAGACAGGCAGCACAATGAGGAGGCAGAAGTTTTATAATGCACAGGAGGCTTGCAAGATAATTTTTGAAATAAAAGAAAATAATGACCAGGAGGACAATGCTGCACATAATGAGGATGAATCAACTGATGAAGAGGGTTCAGGGTCAGAAGAGGAGGAACATAATGATGAGGTGATAGATCCAACATACAGACAGCATGCTACTTCTTCCTCCGAAGATTCCCCCACATCTCCTGCTGCAGAAATGGAAGATGATTATGAATATAAGGAAATGGATGAACGTGATGATGACGTAGAATCTGAAGCTGGTATGGAAGAAGTGTCAGAAGTGGAGCACTGCACCTATTATGATGAAGAATCAACAGATGAGGTAGAATCTGAAGTTGAAATGGAAGAAGTGTCAGAAGTGGAGGACATCATCTATTATGATGAAGACGAAGAATCAACAGATGAGGTAGAATCTGAGGAAGAGGACCCAGCTGACCCTGAACCCTCTTCATCAGTTGATTCATCCTCATTATGTGCAGCATTGTCCTCCTGGTCATTATTTTCTTTTATTTCAAAAATTATCTTGCAAGCCTCCTGTGCATTATAAAACTTCTGCCTCCTCATTGTGCTGCCTGTCTCTCTCAGACTAAAATGTGAAATGCCCAAACACCTGTGAGAAAATACTTTTTTTGTTGTTGTTGTTGTCATAACCATTGCTTGACCCCACACATCAAAGAAACATGATCAAAGATGTTTTGACCCCACACATCAAAGAAACATGATCAAAGATGTTTTGCCAAGCAGTATGTAAACTTTGTGCTGCGGGGTCTTTTTGATCCCAGAGGACAACAGAAGTTATTACATTTAGTAAAACACCCATAATTCAATCAAATTACTTCAAATTTGTTTGAATCATAAAGAGCATAGTATTA